GCTCCAAAGGCCGCTCTGCACATCATTCGTATGTCAAAAACCGGATACTCAGCAATCTCGAAGAACTTTCGTATTTGGGGGCGCCGGCAATAGCGTATCTCACGCTCGTAGCTCAGGTGACCTTGACTTGCAGCACGGCCTGGGGATATAGCTGGACGATAGTGGCGTACGTACTCTGGTGGATTGGCCTCGTCTGGACGGTTACATTGTGCTCTGCAAGTGTGATCCTCCTCTCCAAATACCAAATCACGTCAGACCGTGAGATATCTCCGGTAATCTTCCTCCCACTGATCGGCGTAATGACACTGGGCACCACGGGAGGTCTTGTAACAAACTACTCCGTCGACATGAGTGCTACCTTGGCTATCCCAGTGATTATTGTGGGATACTTAGCCATTGGGTATGCATTGTTCCTCAGTCTGTTGTACTACTCATACCTTGCCCATAGACTCCTCGCCGTTGGAATCCCCGAGCCGACTAAAGTTCCCACTCTCGTTGTTGCAGTTGGCCCAATGGGCCAGTTTGCTACAGCCATCCAAGTGCTGAGTACGGCAGCAAGCAAGAGGGGGCTGTTCGGAGAATACCAAGAGGGAACGTGGTTACAAGCAAGTGCAGCAAGCAGCGTGAGCGCTGCAAGCGTGTTGATCGCGCTTCTTGCTCTCGGATTTGCATTCTTGTGGATTACAGTGGCATGGTACATTGTCATTGAGACGCTGTTCAAGAGACTACTTCCGTTTAATCTAACATGGTGGAGTTTGATATTTCCTATGGGTAAGCACCACATTTCCTGCTTGCTCACTCTGACCTCAAGACTGATGCTTCGTAGGGGTCTTCACAACCGCACTCCTCAATCTCTCAAATGGCCTCAACTCCCCCGCGTTTCGAGGCCTCACGACCGCGCTCCTCATCTTCTTGCTGGCCATTTATTTCATCAACTGGGCCGGCACCTTCTACAGATTATACACGGGACAAGCGCTCGGCGTGCCGCAGCACAGATTAGAAGAGGATGAGCAAGCTAAACAGAAGAAAGAACGGCTGAGTGACCATGTTGCTAGAGATACCCCTGGAAATGGGAATGAAAACGGGAGAAATGTATGAGATGTAAATTCACTAGTTTTAGATATACTAGTATATTTGCATGCTGCCCCTCAGATCACCATTGTGAATACGTTTAATATTATTTTGATAGAAGTTCTCAGCTTTAGGAGAATTATGGGGATCTGGCCCTCCGGGCCACTCCAATAAGTTTTACCTCGTTATACCTTGCTCGTACGATAGCCCAGCTTTTTCATACTTGACGAATAAAAGCATAGAGATCAGATGAACCAGATCAGATACGGTCATGGAGATAGAGAATTCTGCCGAGCAGACCCCATAATTATTAGGGATATGAAGTAGTAAATGTAATTGGACAGCTATAAAAGTGCTGCATATCGTATGCTAGCTTCAGAAATATATACCTGTTGAAAGCAATACATCAAAGTATCATTTGAGCATGGCGACCAAGGCACTCACGTATCCCATGAGCTCTCTAACGCCCTTAACTCCATAGCTAAGCTTTGACGCCTGCTTCTCCCAAGTGGCTCTTGATCAACAAGTTTATCTTCTTACTCATTCGTAAGCGCTCAAATCCAAAGGCACACTGCTTCCCCGCCCCGCACGATACCTCTTCGGCCCGTTTGAAAAGTCCCTTGGCCTCGGGAACTGTGATTCGTCCTGAAACCTCCATCTCAAATCATGAATGGCCGATATCTTGCCTCTTTGTCCTGGCCCTCCTCCACTAGCTCCCATGCCAGGGCCCGTTGGGCTCCTGATTCCTGATCCACCATTGGTCAATGTGTAGGAAGACGAGTCGAGCATGGAGCGTAGGGGAGTCTGAGATGTAGGGCGCGAGGGAGCTGTACTTGGAGGAGCGGGTGGTGCAGGTGCAGGTGCAGGTGGTGGAGGCGAGAATGGTATTGATGGCGCGGATCCAGAGGGTGGTGGAGGTGGAGGAGCAGCGGGAGATGAACGGCCGAATGCATTACGGGCTGCTAGTTCTGCTAGCGATGGTGCATGACCATTGGTTGAAGCTTTGGGCGGCGGCGGTGCCGGTGCCGGCGGTGCTGCTCGGCCATCGTAGCGATATGGATCATAGTCGTCATCGTCGTCTCGTGTGTTCGGTGGTGGAGGTGCTGTAGGCGGAGGAGGCGGTGTCGATCGTGTTGGTGCTCGTGGAGCTGAGGTTGGCAGAGGAGGTGCTGGCGGTACTGAAGTGGGGACTGCACGAGGTGCTGGCGCTGGACCAGGTGGCGGCGGAGGTGGTGCAGATGGAGTTGAAGTAGGTGGTGGTGGTGGAGGAGGAGGAGGTGGTGCAGGCGGGGCACTTCCTGGAACGGGAGGAGCGCGAGCTGGTGATGCTGGCGGTGGAGGGGCGAGTCCAGACGGCTTTCGAGAAGATGGAGGGGGTATGTGCGGCTTCTTTCCAATTGGCGGGGGTGGTTTGGGCTTCAGCCCTATACTTGAGGCTACTGAGGAGGGTCTGGAGTCCTTCAGTCCACCAAAGACAGGATTAAGCGGTGGCCGTCCGCCTGGAACTGGGGGTGCTGGAGGGGCCCCTGGAGGTTTTGGTGCCGCTGCTTGTGGTGGTCTCGGTACTGAGCTTCGTGATGTCTCTGGATCTGACAGGTATGGTGCATTGCTCTGGTCTGCGCCTGTCTTGACGCCGCCTGCTTTCCTCAGCTTCGGCATGCCGCCCGCGAACAAGCCCCCTAGCTGTGGTGCTGATGCCATTGCACTGTCTCCACCTCCCGTATCGCTATTGCTCCTAGCCCGATTCCCTCCCCCAGGAACTGGTGGCGCCAGGCCAGGCGGTGCAGGTGGTCTCCCCATGCCTGGGACCGGCGGAGCTCCCCCTATGGGCGGTGCACTAGGTCCATCGCTCACTTTGCCCAGTGTGGGAGCAGATCGATCGTTGACTTGTGTGACCTTCTTTAGCCTTGTGCCCTTGCCGATATCTGAAAGAAGTGCTCCCTGCGACATGTTAGCTATGCTCTACCTGGTGCTAACGTGTCCAGTCATAGCATGATGACTGCTCGCCCGGCATGATTCCGACATACTCTTCCTGCTCCCGACGGTGGCTTTGCTCCTGGTGCCTTCATCCCAGGCATTGGCGGCGGCGGTGGTGGCCCTCCGGCGCCTCTTCCCATGGGCGGCATGGGCGGAGGGGGAGGTGGTGCGGGCATGATGTCGAGCTTGTCTCGCGCTGATTGTGGTATTCCTTCTCTTTCCGCGAGTACGATGGATGTCGGCAGTATCCTGCTGCCCAGACCCGAGTGTAGCTGTGTCAAGAGTGTCGTGGAAGTGGGTGCGTCTTGCTTGGAACATTCCGTCAGAGTCGGTGGTGCTTGGCATCAACTCTCAGCCACGCATGGCTTCGTCACTTTCCGCACTTCACCGCAACCGCCTACGCTGCGTCCAACGCCATGAAGCCCGGCACCCTGTCACTGCGCACCCAGTCGCGGCCAGTATGCCAATTGTGCGACTACATACTGCAGCAGCCTGCCCGTCGCCGCGCATTCCTGTCCACGTCAACCATCAAGGCATCCACCATACGGAGGCAACCAGCGCAAAATCGTGACCTTGTCTCACGGATACCCGCCGGCAGGAACATCACCACAGCAGCTCGGAAAGGCGAAGCAATCGAGACGAGGGACGATGGAGCCCTCCAAACATCCGACAGAATAGCTGCGCTGAAAACACAGCTTGCGGAGGTGGAGCGTCGGATCCGCGCCATCTACGATTCACCCAAGGTCGAAAGTGAAGCCGTCATATTGGATGCCTTGAATGGACTGAAGCATGTTGCGCAGCACGCGATAGCCATACGGTCACGGCAGCCATTGCCAACAAAGGCACCGATCAGACAGAGTTCAGCGGGCGCAATTCTCTCTGGGCTGGGCAGTGAAGAAAGTGTTAGCAGCCAGCCGAGACCACGGTCAAGGCAGTTGGGGCTCGACTCTCTTCCGTCGCCGTCGTATCTTTCCAAGCTCGGCGAAGACTTAGTAAAAGACGAAAAGGTCTTCATCTCTCCCAACGTCCTTTCTGTATATATCCACCTCCAACGGCTACTCGCCCGCCCGAAAGCCATACCCGAGGCTCTCTACCTTTACGCGAACAAGCCCGTGCCTTTGGAAGGGTCATCACCGCCCAAGTTCTCCCGACCGTCACCAAAGTCGGCGAAACAAGCGATCCCCATGGAGCTCGCAGACGCAGCCCTCACAGCTGCTATTGAGGCCAAGGATCTCTCATTAGCCCTTGATGTTGTAGACCAAACATATCGCGCGCCGGCATGGCGACGGCACCGCATGATCACGAAGATGGGTGTACCTTCCCTGTTGGCAGGTCTCACGCCCCTCGCTCTCTACATGGTTTCCCAAGAACTTTCTGTCTACAGCGGCTACATTGACCCGTGGACGTTCAAAATGTATGCTTTTGCAGGGCTGAGTACTTATGTCATGTGCACCGGTACGCTTGGCTTTGTCGCGCTTACAACGTACAACGATCACCACGACAGAGTAGTTTGGAGACCTGGTGTACCGCTCTTGGATCGCTACTTGGGCGAGGATGAGCGCGCAGCGTTGGACAGGATCGCGTGTGCATGGGGTTTCAAGGAACTGTGGAGGCGTGGCGACGAAGAGGGTGAGGAATGGGAGGGCTTGAGACAATGGATTCTCTTGAGGGGTATGGTGTTGGATAAACCCGACCTGATGCCGGGCATGAATAGCACACCTCACCAGCGCGAGCGGTAGATCATGTAAAAATTAGGAAGCCTTTGTAAAATATAGACATGCACAAAACAGTGTAGCTACAATCACCCAAACTATTCGAATAACCATCTACCACCATTTCAGACCAGCTTGTTGTATGTAATAATAAAAAGCATGCACAATGGCAGACAGCATTCCAGTCCACAAAAAACGCAAAAAAAGAAGGCCATTTGATGGTTACTTTGGGATTTTATGCGACACCTGTGTGATTCGAACACACGCTCCCGAAGGAACTGGCTGACTTCCGCTCCGAAGAGCGACTAGCAGGCCAGCGCGTTAACCACTCCGCCTGGTGTTTGGTTAGTAAGCGATCCTAGCGACCAGCGCGGAACGCGGACTTACCAAAGTGCCAATTGTATGATTTGATGGGAGGGTGTTTGATTCTATAATCTATGTAAAAGTGTTTTGGGAAGGAGTAACCCTTGAATTTGTGGAAGGAGCAACCCAGGAAATTAAGAAGGGGCGGTGCTAAATGCGGGGTAAGATCCAGGCTGCAGTAGGGTTTGTTAGTCTCCGCCCTCGGAGTCATACGGATGCTCCTCCAATCGTTGGGACCTTGTCGCTTTAGCACTACGCCTGACCTTTGAACATGGACCTCCAGCTACTTTATATTTAGTAGTGTATCTCTGCCCTTGATCTAGGTTCATGGTGGCCGATTTCAGTAACAAGAGAAAGAAGCGTAGAAAGCGAAATAAGATGTATTTTCCCCGCTGGACATTTCTTGTCCAGAGATCGATCGTTGACGCTGCAACAGAGGGTGGGTATGCTTTGCCTGACGATCTCGCTAGCTTTCTAAACTTTGAGAGACTTCATCATAGTTTCGATAATTGCTATACAGACGTACCTTTGTTCATCAGAGCTCTATAGAAGGTTAAGATTCGCGTGCAATGGGTAGGTGCGTGCAAAGGGTGGGTTGGCAAGTTACAGGGAACATTTGCATGAGCACAACGAAGACATCATGATCAAGAAACCACTACTCCCATCACCATGCCGTTGTTGCCCTTATCACTTCTGCACCTCGGCTATTATAGCCTCGTACTCTATATACATGTAGTCGGGTTGATGCCTGTAGGCCTTCACTAAGCTTCATGTACTGGTTAGCAGGTGCGAAATACATCCTATAGACACACTTAACTATCATGTATTTGTACTACGGGACTTGTATCGGTAATCTAGCGTACCTACCCTCTCAAAAACTAAGCTACGCCACTCTATCCTTTTCAGAGCCTCAAAGTGTGTACGCGCAGTATATCTTTGGCCTTGTCCAGGGCACGAATAATCTTAGTTTCATAGTCCGGCTCCAACTTTGGCGCAATCGCAAGGTCCAATTCCATCTTTTCTCCCGACTCATCATCAGTCACCTTGTCGGCTGGGACATCCTCGATATGGAAGAAAATGTGGAGGTATGGTCGTGGTGTTACTTTGAATCTTGTTTCTGGTGGCACATCGTTGGTGATAACTGTGACTTTGGTGATATGCTTGATGCCGAGCTCAGCCTTGTGTTGGATGAGCATGTGGGCTATCGAGGCACCAATGGGTGAACCTTCTGGATTTAGCTAAAGATTTGCGCACGCCTGAGGTTGGCTTACCAATAAGTGCTTTGCCTTCATCTGTGTCTGCCGTGAAGGCCGCTCCAGGCCATTTCGAGAGCTCTTTGATCTTATTGTTTCTGAATGCGCGCGCAGCTAAAAGTGAGGTCGCATCATTTACGACATTGTAAGCGCCATAGATTCGGAGGTTTTTTGGGTTGGGATTATCTCGAACCCAGTATGCCCAATATATGTCGGAGCAGCGGCGTATCGCGGGGAGTTCTTCTGGGGTGGCTGCTCTGCCCCAGCTTCTGTGGCCATCCCTGACTGCGTTCACTGGGCTGTCCAGATTCATTCCGATGATTGCTATGAGCATTAGCGTCGGAGGTGCACTCACAAGTAAGGTGGCAGGAAGCAAACCTCCTTCAACCTTGTTCATTGCGAATTCAAAAAAGCCACCCGTTGCCTACATGATCAGTAGCCTGAAATGTTATCAATGGCGTTAACATACTGTATACTCTTTGTCCTTGACTTTATATTTTTGCTTGACGATGTTCTTCATCTCGGGTTCCTTGTCTTTATGGTCTTCGGGTTTCGGGTCTTCGTAATCATTCTCGTTGTAATGAATGACCGAGATACAGTCGTTGTGACCATCCCCTGGCTTGTAAACATCCTTTTCATCGTCCCATTCGTACTTCGCCCTGGCATTGAGACCAAGCCCTTTGAATGCCACTTCTAGTTTCCTTCGCTCGAAGTCGCACTCATAGTCTTTCTCAAATGATTCAGCTTCATGCCATCCCCACAGTGCCATCTCATCTATTTTGTGTTATAAGTACGAGTTTCTACAATTAGAAACAACATGGTACATACTTTTGAGGTCGCCATTCCACGGACTCGCAACAGAAGGTGGTTTTCTCTTGTCCTCTTCGAGATATCCGGCGCCCTTATCAGTAGCTTGCATGAGGCACACCAAGTGGTCGCCTTTCTTTTCCACAAACTCTTTCCACATCTCCTCATTAGCATAGTTGCTGGTGTCAAAATTGAGGCTAACCAGTGAAGGCAAAGAATCAAGTTCATCGATAGTTGGATATGATAGAGCTTCTGGGGCCGAATGTGAATCCGAGAGGTTGCCTACTGCTACTTGAAAAAAACCTATCGCAAGCGCACAAAGAGTGTCGAGCCTCATAATGCCCGATGCTTGGACTTTTATACAAATAGATTGCACAAGTTGAAACAGAAGAAAAGAGGAATTGACCAGTTGTAAGGCTGGAGAGCGTTCGTGCGACGGTGAAGTGAAATGGAAGGGACCGCGAACGTGACCAGCGCGGGCCACTTTATCAAACAACAGGAACACGTAGAGGATGTGAAACAATGGCTTTATGTTACGTATCGTATTTTAAAGTTTATGTATTCTTCTGGATTCGTCCTCGCCTATCTCGTTACTCCTTATAGAGATCCCTTGTTCTCTCATTCCCGCTCTGTAACACCGCTCTTGCGATATCACCCGTCCCGTCCCTTGGTGTTAATTTGATCTTGAAATCCCTCGGAATTGCAACAAGCGCACTCTTTATAGCATTATAATCGACATAATCTGTATTGGGCGGATATGACGTAGACGCGTCGATCTTGTACAACATTATTAGGCGAAAGAGGGCCGCATTGATGAGCTTGCCGGCGATTATTGCACCAGGACATGAGCGTGAGCCAGCACCGAAGGAAAGATGGGGTGTACTTGATGAGGACTTTTCGGTATACAGTGAGGCAGGATCAGAAGGATTGGGCGAGTCGAGCCAGCGCTCTGGATTGAAGCTCGCGGCATCGGGACCCCAATAGTCGATATCTACTCGGGTCAGTCTAAATATTCTAGACCTTTGTAACACGATGGCGTATACCATGATTTCCCGCTTGGGCATTAATCAAAACCATAGTTCCTTTTGGAATGACAGCCCCACCCCATCTCACATCACTCATTGTTTTGCGTGGCAAACTCATGTTACTCACAGTATAGTATCTGCCGGCTTCTTTCACGATAGCATTCAAGTAGGGCACAGTCTCTTTCTCGAAGTCATTGGCCCACGACTCTTTGGGGTCCGGATATATCTTTTTCATCTCCTGGTACGCACGTTCCTGGTACTTCTGGCCCTCTGGTGTTGATAGAGAGCCGATACAAGATACGAGTGTGCCTGGAATTGTCTCGAAACCACCCGACACAAGGGATAGGCAGATGGAGCTAACCTCTACGCCAGTGAGGCGCGTCTCCTCATCCTTGAGGATCGCAGCGCTGATACATGGCTTCTCGGTGCCCGTCTTGATCATCTCACGGACTTTGTCGAGGAGTTCGTCAAGATATTTGTCTCGTCTCTCGCGTAATTCTTTGGAACGTCGGTTCTTCTCATTATTGGGCAAATATCGCAACATAGGAACATAATCCTGGTAGTTCTCAGAAGCAGACCGCAGAAGCGAAATAGCCGAGCCGACATGGAGTATCTCGCGCAAAAGATCATCGTATACTTCGTCCATACGGATGCCATAGCACAGAGTAAGAGTGGTGTTGAGCGCGTAGCGCTGGATGTACGGTCGAATGCTTACTTCAATAGCACCACCTTTGCTGTCGCGAGTCAAGTCTCGAACAATACAATATGACTCCAAATCGAACATATTGTAGTAGTTCTTCATCATCGCTTTACTCAATGTTGTAGACGCGGCCTTTCGCTTGTTTCGGCAGCTCTCATCCCATGGTGAACTTCCAATCGTGAAGCCTTGTGTCGATGAGATTAAGCCATGGAATGTGAACAACTTGGGTCGATCGATTAATCCTTGGGAGTTTGAAATGAGGATCTTTTTGCAATCCTCAAAGGAGCTAACGATGACAGCGCGTGTGTTACCGAGGCGAATCTGAAATACTGAATTGCCATACTTGCGCCACCACTTTTCACAGACTGTTGCATGGTCATCTCCAAGTTGTGTAAGATGGCCGGTGATTGGAAGAGCTCCAGGTATTTCCGGTATTCCTCGAATGTATGGGATGTCAGTTCGACATAGCAGCTGCAAGATTAAGTGTCAAACCGTGTATGCTGAGCTGACCTTACCTTATAGACTGCCAGCGTTCCAACAGCAATGATTAAAACGACCGAGACATGGCCGAGTAGTGCTTCGTTGATGTAATGAGCTGTCCCCGAGAGTCGATCCATGATGAACGTGAAGCTGGGAAACAAGCAGTACCGTAGCCCATAGAGAAGAGGTCGTTGGTAAAAGACAAGAGCCCCCCAAATTTGACACTGGAATCATGATTTTCGGATGAGTGCTGCCGGATGGGGCATGCGCAAGTGATGATATCGCGCATATCGTGAGGGGTCGTCTCGGATTCATTCCGACCACACCGGAACTGGGCCTTATCAGTGGACCGTCCCACCTGACAAGAATCGCGGCATAGGTGCGCAATGCTCTGATAACCATATATTGGCTATTTCCAGATATAGTAGGCGTAAATACATTAATCCATGTGTTTTAGCGGCAAACAAAAATGACTTGATGTATCTCAAAATCCGAGCCTCATCAACGGGATTCAAACACAAGGAAGCCAATGGCCCGGACAACGCGCACAAAAATATATGCCGACATATCGCTAAGCTCAGATTTCCAAGAGCTTAGCATGCTTGACCTCAGCGCCACGTAGGTGCTGTTGGATTTGATCATATCTCGCAAACCCGTCCAGTTCTGCAAACTTGGAATGCTGCTCCACCTTTTGCCACGGGCAAAGCAGGACCC